ATATATATATATATATATATATTTATTTATTTATTTATTTATTTATTGATGGTATAAAACTATTTATACTTACGATATATGGAACTTGAGATGAGGTGTGTACCACATAGACAAAACATAAGACTTAGATAAATTTGGTGCGCAAATAATACTGTATACTATCAAGTATATTTTGTACATCGTCAGGGTACTTTTTTAAATATAGGTAATAAATAAAATATGAATTATAAATACGCAAAAGAGAATGTTAGTGTAACTGATAATAAATATTTTATTATAACTAGCGTAAAAAAATTACTTGATACTTTTGTGTACTTTTAAATAAATAAAAATAAAGTAAAAATAAAAATAATTAAGATTAAATAATAACTGAAAATTACTAATATGCAGCAATTTTTAGATAGATATAAAAGGTAAGTGAAATTTAATAAAAAAAATTATAAGAGTATAATAGTTCAAAAAGTGTGTATTTAAAAGGAAATATCTCTTTTATTAATAGTATAAATAAAATTGGATATTTTTTAATGTTAGTTCTAAAGTCCTAAGTTTCTATTAGGAAAAAAAGGTGTATTTGCTTAAAGATACACTGATAGATATGTCGTTTGAGGTCTTTTAACTTCATAGTGGGCAACAATTCTGAGAAGAGTGTAGTACTTGTAAAAGACACTTTGACCCTCAAGTCAAAGTTCAACACAAATATTTAATTGAACAATTAATGAATAATAGTTTTATCTCAATTTGTTTAACTATTTATATAAACCATAATAGGCTTAAACTTAATGGACTTTGGTTGCAGATTATCAATTAGGTAATACGTTATTATTGACATATTAACCTCCTATTCTCATTTATTTTTTTCACTAGTTATGTAATCCTTGTTGAGATTGAGATTTGTTAAGAATTTATTGTCTGATTTGTTCAGCTTTCAGGTGAATTCGTTTATTTAATTCTTTGTGTAATATGTTAGAGAAATATTGAGTAGGTGTCTCAAGTGGTAAGAAATTCTTGTAATGGGTTTCTACAAGAAGTGCTTTCTTAGGTGCAAGAAAGTGTCTATCTTGAGTGTTGAAGTGTGTGCATGTGTGGTATGCTTGTAAAACTTCTTCATTGAGATAGTGGAACAAATCTTGATCAAGTTATGATTGAGGACTGGATGTAGGTCACATGTAGAGTGGCTGAACCAGGATAAAACACTTTGCACTCTTCTCTCATCCTTATCTCTTGTATTGATTAATCTTTAATTGAATTTTGCAATGACGGATTCTGAATAATTTGCTTGCATGGTTAAAACTGTTTAAAATTGAAGATTGTCATTGCATACATGTTATTGTGAGAACTGATTCAAGAAAGATTAAGCAAGAACCTATATAGAAGTCATTCCCATATACAAGTGGTTCAATATACTTCTTTCAAAACTCTTAAAAAAGTTTTGAATGAAATAAAAATCTTTAAACTTTGGAAAAAAAAATTAAGTGTCGTTGAATCCAATTTATCCCCCCTCTTGGATTGAACCATTCTTTTCTATCAATCCTCATTGTGATGACTCTAAAAAATGTCTACCTTGGTCATCTCAACCACTTCAGTCATCGAATCAAAACCATTGCAAATAAGGCAAATATGTATATGGGTCGATTAGCCTCAATCATCTTAGTCACTTTGATCGTTGAGAGTATCGAGACAATCACAAATAAAGTGAATGTGTATATAACTCAATTACCTTGACTATCTCAATATTAGAGAATGTTGAGTCCGCTAGTTGGAGCCTACGAGGTAAGTACATGACATGTAGGGTAAAGTTGATGCCTTTTTAGGTAATGTTGTTTGGTTGTCTTGGTGGCTGAGATTAGGGATGGTAACGGGGCAGGGCGGGTACGGGTTTCATGATACCCGTCCCCGTCCCCGTCTTCGTACCCGTCGGGTATATGATTTTTATCTCCATTCTCGTCCCCGTCAAGTATCGGGTATACCCTTACCCGTACCCGTAGCCGTCAATTTTTTTTTTTTTTGTAAAAAAATATGATTTTTTAAAAAAAATTATTATATTATAATTATAATTAAATTATTTATCTATCTCATACTATAATAAATAATCACACATAAAAAAATATTAAATTTTTTTAATATAATTAAATTAAAAGTGGGTATTAAATTAAAAATAGGAACGAGGACGGGTACGGGTACAGGTACGGGGCGAATAAGTACATACTCGTACCCGTACCCATACCCGATTTAATATATCGGATTTTACCCGTACCTGGTCAAACCGGGTATTTCCCATCAAAGTCGAGACGGGTTCGGGTATTACCCGCAGGTACAGGTATATTTGCCATCCCTAGCTGAGACAACCAAAGCATGTTACCCATAATCTCTTTCTGGTATAAATATGGAGAAGTTGATGAAAAATTTCATCGTTGGTATCCAATGTACGCATTGATGTTGCAACCTATAAAAAATGAAAAAAAAAATCTAATTTCCTTTTTATTATTTTTTTAATAAAATTTTAACATGTAAAGACATCATAATTGGATGAAATCCAACAATTGACACTTCGACGCATACCAATCCTTTAAGCTTTTTGAATTGTGGTTTTTATTATAATTTCATAATTACCATGATTGTTTTGATTGATTTAGGAAGGAGTGAATTGGGAAGAAGTAAAAGAGAATGACTTATTTTTCATGGTTTAGTTAGCATAAAAATAGTGGAGAAAAATATTTTTGTGGGCTTCATTGAAATTTATTCACTCCACATGGAATAGAAATTTTACTAATAGTTTTTTTTGGAAACAATGAAGAAAATGTGTAGTATATTTATATTTATTTTAGTTATTGTTATTTTTTTTCATTTTTTAAAATTAAATACATTTTAGTAACTGAGTTTTCTTCCATGCCAAATAAATAGTTAATATACATAAGTGATAGAGCAATAGTGTATGCATAAAAGGAGGGGAGACAAGTTAGCGATGAGTTTAATTTTTTCTATCTCCATCCCTACCAAATAACACAATTGGATTGTTTGAATCCAATTAGATCGATCAGACATGGATAGTACACATGCCTTTCAGGCCGAGAGCTTAAGGGTTGTAAATTGTTTGACTTCTTTGGCCAGCCATCATAAGTACAAAAGCTTGTTATATTAATGTTTGGGGATTGTTGACCATGCAGCCTTTGATTGTCACCTTAATGCTCGAGGGATGGTTAATTGTCTAGTCTTTACAGTGTAATTAAATCTCACAATGTACCTATTTTATAAGCCTTTAATTGCTTGATCACCTTTTATGCACTTAAGACACCTCAACAACTAGATTCTCTCAACATGCATACAATTGGGGTTATCAAGTTGAAACACATTCTAACAAAGGGATTCATGTAATGATAGAGGTTGTATCACCTTTTGACAAATTAGAGACGTGAACATAGAAGTAAACCACCCTTTAACAACACAAAACAAAACAAGCATCAACACTTATTAGACTCAATGTTTGAAAGGTTGTTAATCATTTGGATAGACTAATCAAACATAGCAAGCTCTCTTACCTTTCAAGTTCAATGCTTAAGGGTTTGTGAAACGTTCCATTTAGAATAATTAGGCTAAAAATCATGGGCCTAATTAGGGTCAAAATGATCTATCTCATTTAAGACAATTGTGTTTTGCACTTTTAGGCTCTATCATTGTGAATAAATAAGTTTCTTAGAGTTTCTTAAAGGTCTTTAGTATGCTTAGACACAAACATTCACATTTTTTTTATACATCAAAAGTTTAAATGAATTGAATTCTAAGGATTAATCAAAGTCAAGACATACATCAAGACTCATAACATTTACAAAAATACTTGCATATTACCAATCGACAAAACCCTGACATAAAAAATATATATTATATATCAACAAAGTTCTCGCATAAAGAATAGGAATCACATAAAAAAAATCCTTTTATAAGACTATTCTTCTTACCAACCATACCAACCAAAGCAAACATGAGCAAATTAGAAATCAAGTTTAAGGAAGATAGGGATAAAAAATAAAGTCTAACTTCATTCTTGTCAAAGTAAAAATCCATAGAAAACTCACCGTTTTTTTAAAGTTAATTTATTTTTGTTTTAACTAAATCATATATTATAATTTAAATAATGGACAAAATTAATAAGCTTCGAGAACTTTAAATATAAAAAACTTGAGAACTAAAATATATTTTTAATAACAATGCACAATTTCAATTTTACTATTTATTTATTTTAATTAAATTATTTAAATATTATAATAATTTTACATTTCCAATAATTCTATCAAAACAAGAATGAGAATATGTCACCAAAAAAGTTATATCTCTAATATTCAGATACTAGCATACTGCGGGAAGAGTAATTACACCCTCAAACTCATTCCCGCTTTAAAGAATGAAGAAAATTCCAAATCCAGTAAAATCACTTTTTTTTTTTAATTACCATGCCTACAATGCGCTAAAAAAGAATAGAGGTTTGTCATGTGTGTAAAGTTTGTAAGTCCTATTGTCGGAACAAATGCAGGTTGATACACTGGCCCTTGTTTAAAATCAAACTTCATTCACTCCAAACATTAATCTGAACTCGCTTGAAGAAAGAGACTACATTCATTGATCAGTAAGATCTGGTCAAACACGAGGGACAGAATCGGTTAGATCTAAGTTAGGTCATTCCATCTATTAGACAACCCCAAGTAAAGAGATATTTTTTAATTTAAAAAACAAAAACTACAGATTAATACACAGACAACAGACAAACTGTTCTCAACTGATTAATTCTTAGTCATGCCAAATCACATTCCCTTTCCTTCTCGTAAGCTTCTTCCTCTCCTATAGTCAACCTCAGCATCAGAGCACGATAACCCCATCTGATATTTCCTGCAGACTCTGGAAGATTCCATTTTTGAGAATATATCCTCATCATCTCCGAGAGTACGGTTGTCAGGTGTACTTAATCCAGAGCTGTTGCTACAATGTCCTTGTGATTTAAGATCTGACATGCAACAAAGAAGCATATTTGCTTACAGATAGATAAAGAAAGCGGAATGAAATCCTACTCGTTAAAATGCATACAATCACTATCACAAAATTACCCTCCATCTTTTCAAGATAAAATACAAAGATGACCAATGCCTTACATCTTACCAGACCAAAAAAAAAAGTTTATAACCTTAACCCATTAAAAGTACAATACAGCAAAGCACACCAAGTCTCTAGTTCTAGAAATGATATTAAATATAATATTGAAACCAAATCGTAAATTTAGAAGTAAGCTACTCAATTTTCTTTTATTATTACCATGATTTCTCAAGATGAAAGGAAATAAATCATATTTAGAGTAAGTATTTACAGCATACCTTCATATCCTTGACATACGGGGGCCTGATTATGTGCTTCCTTGCTCACTGGATCTGATTTAAGACTTCTCAGGCTCTGCAATGCCACCTGCGTCTCCTGAGCTTTGAATCCTTTCATTAATGAAGGCTCTATGCTTTCTTCCATTGTTGACTTACCAGAAGCGAAGGGCATCATGGTAAATGAGTCCTCCATTACATCAGAAATTTCAACATATTGAGGGGTAGTTATAATCTCATCTGCACTGAAACCAAAGGATGCTCGGTATGCTTCTATTTCTTCCACATCTTGCCTAGGACTTCTAGCATGCCTATTCTGCTGTCCATTTCCACCAGTAGATTGGACATCTGAATCTTTCGAAACACTTAATCTCCCACCATTATGAGGAAATGGAGGATTTTGGTCTAAATAGAATTGTGCATAGGTTGCAGGGCAAAAGAAATTTGTATCTTGGGATGCCATAGTGACACCATTTGTGTCATGCCCAGATACCCTCCCAGACCCAGTTCTCTGATATTTTCCATTCGTAGGAGACAGTGATGAATCCCACTGTGGACGGAACTCCCGTTCAGGAAAAGAAGATGATAAACAGTCACCAGAGTTCCTTGATATTGGAGATATAAGGCTACTGGCAGGACTTCCAGGGTAGAGTGAATATGTAGCTTGAAGATCATTTGCAGTGATGTAGTTACCCTTGTCACTATTTTTGAGATCCACCGAAGATGAGAGAAAATGAGCAAAAGGTACATCTGGCGAAGAGGGAGTTGTCAAATGAGCCAACTCAGGTGGAGGAGTAAAAGAAGCAGTGGATGGCTCAGTAGTGAAATTTGAGAACACTGGAGGAGACACCAGCTGTGTATCATGAGCATATGGTCCAGTGGCATACATTGTAGATGAAGGACCACCAGGTGAGTTAGCAGATAATGACAAGAAGCAACTAGGTGATTGTGCAGTGGAAGGAAGGGCAGAATGTGTGAAGGATGCTGGTGAAGAAGGTGGGGCTAAGAGAGAAGGAGCTAGTCCTGTGGCTTGATTGGTCAACCCAACCACTTGAGGTCCATTGGGCTGAGATGCTGGCCCACTATTGTCAGGAATGCGAGATGCAGGAACAATGCGCTTCCCACCTTTCTGTGAACCAAAGCAAGAAAATGCACCCCAACATCCTCCCCATCTCTTTCGCTGTCAATGCAAGTGAAACAACATAGACTTACTCAAAGGAAAAAGAAGATCAATAACAGGTAGATCTGAAAAGAAACAATAACTATTGAGAATTCTTTTTGAAATTTTAAATATTTAACAAGAATTCAGCCTCCCAACTTCTTTACATCTTTCACTGTTCTACATACACATCAATAAATATTTCATCATATTATTACATAACCTTTAGGCTTGCCAAGAAAAACTTACATTTAGTAATCACAACATATCTTTAGAATATAAGTTTTTATGCGTGATCAAAATTTTATGAAAACTGTCGAAAGAATTTCTAAATTAACATCCTACACATTGCAAAGTCAAGTGAACTGACCCAGTGTGCTTTTGGCTCACCCTCTATTTATATACAACAATTTGGCTTTCAGATTTTTCTGTTTTTTTTTTTTTAAATGTATTTCCCCTTCAATTTTTTTACCTGCTATCTTAGTCACTGATAGTTTCTCCTTGATAGACCCAATTGTAAACCTAAAACTCCCTAAGGTTAAGTCCTCCACTTGGAAATTATAGCACAAATGACATGCTCAATTTCCAAGATTCTTAAACTTCACACAGTGCTTTCTCCTAATGAGCAGCAAGTGGCACAATTGTACGACAGAAACCTTGGAGTAATTTCTCATGATACACTTCAAAGGTTTTGGCAGGAAAAAGGAGGCTATGATTATATGGCAATGGAAGTTTATGCAGTTCTTCGGTGCATTTGGTCAGAAAGGAATGCCATAATTTCAAAGGTCTATCTCTACCCTTGCTTCTGATGTGGTATAAGGATTGTGTTTTTGGCTTCTCTTGCATACAAATAAGCCGAGGGATTGGAAAAATTTATAGGGGTTTTTACTATTTTCATTTTGGTTTGATACTTAGCTGTTTTCTTTTCTCTTTTCAAGAGAACCTTTTTGTCCCTTCAGATGCATATTCTCTTCGTTTCAATCAATACCCTCTTCTTTTATCAACAAGAGAGCATAAAATCAACAGAATCCGTCTTGCATTCATCTTGAAAACTCAAAGATAACCTAAATTCTGGCAATTAAAATGTCTATAAATGAAGAAATGAGATTATGAAATATTTGGAAGGAAAACAAATGGACAACTGAAAGTTGCTGGCCAGTATAAGGAAAAGCTAAAATAATTTTATTGCCCAAATATATTTATGCAATATAATCATCTTCCGACAAACAGTATAGTAAACATAACACCAAAAATATGTGCTCCCTTTCTGAAATATACCAAAGTCATGTATGCTAATCAAAAGAAACTGTTTGAAAATGGTTAGCAGAACCCAGTATTAACCAAAAATACCAAATAATTTATTCGAAATGATAGTGGCTTCTGTTCAATGTACAGGGTAATCCCCTAGGAAAGTACGACTTCTCCCTTAGTCTTCTAAATTCCCCTGCCCCCCTCTCTTTTCTTACTCATAACATGACAGCCAAAGTGTCGAATGATCTTGGATATGTAACTCAAGAGTCAAGACAAGATTGCAAGAACAGTACAAGTTTTTAATCTGATTTTGTTTATGAATTTGCACAATTATTTGAAATTACAAAGCTTTTATAGGACAAATCTCGGCAAATATGAAATAAAGTGTGCATTTACAAAAAAAATTATGCTGCTAAATATAAATTTTGCATAAAAAGAATATCTTAGAAATGTGTGTTTTGAGATCTCCAACACACACCCTTTACGCTGAAGACTGAACATTTCGGTCATGAAATTTGCAAGATGCACATTTGTGGATAATTTGACAACAATTTGATAGCAGATGACATAATAGGACCAATAACAATCACTAGGTAGAGTCTAATACCATCTTAAAATGTGAGTTATGGTCTAAACTTATCCTAACAAAACCGGCTTGAAACTCTTCACTTATATAAGCTACTTTAACCATATCGCTAGTCGACGTAAGATTTCTAATCGAATACAAGGCTCTTCATCAGCTCACCAACGATGTTCTTAAATAATTATATCAATAACTATAATTTACAGCAATACACAAATTTACAGTCATTCAAGACTCATTCCACAAAAAGAAAACTTTAATTTTAATGACTTGATTTTAGTTTGAGATAAATTTTCTGCATTTTGTACCATTTTTCCTTTTGTGAATGAAAATATTGAAATTTAATACTAGTAGTAATTCCTAATTACTAATAAACTTCAGAAGTATAAGATTCTTCTAGCTTCAGTCAACATGATATATACTCGCTACTTATGAACAGATATACAGGAACCATATAACAGTGTTGGTCCACCATTCCATGCCTAAACTAAATTAGGCGTTCATCTGACATAACACCCATCTCATAATAAGATTTACCATATAAGGTTGTCAAACTTGAGGGTTTGTGTAAACTCATTGAGCTTAGATAGATTCAAGTATTCAACTCGTAAACGAGTTTACCTAATATAAAAATATTAAAAGATCTATAATGACATATGCATAACAAAATACTCTATAACACAACAATAATTCAACACTTCATAATAAAGCAAAGTAGAAAACTACAATAAAAAGTGTGAAATACGATTATACTACATTAATGACAAAATCATATATAAATTCATAAAATCATAAGTTACTACATTAAAAACATTTCAAAAAGGAGTTTATCTCTTCAAATCATTTGAGCCCCGGTCAAAACACTATCGCTATGGGGTCAATGGGGGGCAAACGTTATTTTTGATATCAAACTCCCTAGCACACTTCTTGACTTGAGAGTTTATGCGAGCTCACACAACTTTATTTGAGTTTATCTAGAAAAGAGTTTGATGAGGACTTGTTTTGTGTACCTAGAATCATAAAATCTAAAGACTAAGGGTTAACTAGAGAGTTTGTCAACCTTATCCTCATGGGTAATCCAAGCTATTAGGACATGACACAAACCAACGCACAAAAAAAAAAAAATAAACAAGAGAAAAATCTAGCAGTTGTTAAAAGAATTAAGTAAAAAAAAAAATGTTTCCTAGTGCTAGAGGCTCCTCGCTTTGTGAAGGTTTGGAGGAGGGTAATAGTATGCAGCCTTCCCCTTGGATATGCAAAGAGGCTGTTTCTGGAATGGAACTCATGACCAACCGGTCACCAAGGCACAACTTTACCAACTACCATGGTGCCAGGGCTCACCTGGGGTTAAAAGAAAGAAAATAAAGCAAAATTTCTAATTTTTATTATAAGTGGCAGGTATTCTTTCAATCTACCAAAAAAAAAAAACTCATACAGTTATTGATAGTAGGGTTTTACTTTATTATTTCCATTGCACGCAAATTATGAGCAAGTCTTGTGTGGACACACCCAACAGGTAATGTTTGGACACAACCAATAATATAACACAATGCACAAAATGAAATCTTAAAAACTGACATGGTAATTTTCTAATTTCTGTTCCTTTTGCTTCTCTTAGCATGCATAAAAAACCAGCATCTTCTTTTTCTTCTGCTTCTATCTTGAAGATTATTGAGTCTGTTTAGGTAAATTTTTCTACAGGCAGCTGTAGCAGAAAAAATAATAAGTTTTTCCATAAGCTAAAAATCTTAATTGTAGATGTTTTCTCGCATTAGTTTCTCAAAAAGCTGATTCTTAACTTAGGGGAAAAAAAATACGAAGGAAAAATGAAATTAACTTTTCTATAACTCTATAACCTATAAATAAAAATTTTGTATATAAGTTTTAATTTTTTTTTTTGGAGTTAATATAAACTTCTACAAATTAATTTATGTATAAGCTAATTTTAGCTTATAGAGAATCATAAATCAGCTCAGACAATCACAAATTAACATGTTCTTTCTACCTAGGAAACCTTGCACATTTTATGATTTTAACTTGGTCTCTGTAATAGAGTTACACAAAGTAAGGTTGCTGCTCGGCTACGGCAAAAGGTGGTTGACACTACAGAGATAGTGGTTTGGGATTTGGAGAAAGCCACCACCGTCAATGGCCATGGTGCTGTAGTTGATGCCAATTTTGAGGGGAAATGAAGTGCAGATCTAGGGGAAGATGATCAAGAGAGGCATAAGAAAAGAAAATTGCTGTGTCTGCTTTATACTTTCCATTTTATGTGCTGTCATTATTATATCGGTTCTGTTCAAAATCAAGGTTTACTGAACACAGCATAAAGACAAGTTAGTATGTGATATTAAGGATTTAGATTCCGACAGAAAAACTGAAACAAACACAGAAAAAGGAAAAGTGCAATTGCTAAGGCAAGAGCAAAGTAGACTGCACCTCACTCTAATTTGTAGGGAAAGCTTTCTG